GCGGCCCCCGCCGCGGCCTTGGCCTGGGGGGCCGCCGGCTCGTCCTTGAGCGAGGACTGGTCCTGGTCGGTCTCGCGGTGGTAGAAGTAGTTGAAGTTGGAGACGATGACGGGCACGGGCAGCGCGATGGTCAGCACGCCGGCGATGGCGCACAGCGAGCCCACGATCTTGCCGCCCACCGTGACGGGGCGCATGTCGCCGTAGCCCACCGTGGTCATGGTGACCACGGCCCACCAGAAGGCGTCGGGGATGCTGGAGAAGTGCGACTCGGGCTCGTCGGCCTCGGCGAAGTAGACGGCGCTGGAGAAGAGGATGACGCCGATGAAGAGGAAGAAGATGAGCAGGCCCAGCTCCCGCATGCTGGCCTTGAGCGTCTGGCCCAGGATCTGCAGCCCCTTGGAGTGGCGCGACAGCTTGAAGATGCGGAAGACGCGCACCAGCCGGATGACGCGCAGGATGGCCAGCGACATGGCCTGCTGGCCGTTGGGGTGCTCCTGGCCCTGCTCGGCCAGCTCGGTGCCCAGCGTGATGAAGTAGGGCATGATGGACATGATGTCGATGATGTTCATCACCGTCTTGGAGAACTCGGACTTGCTGGGGCAGGCGAAGAAGCGCACGAAGAGCTCGAAGGTGAACCAGATGACGCAGGTGGTCTCGATGATGAAGAAGGGGTCGCTGAAGGTCAGCGAGGGCCGGGCCGCCGTGCCGTTGTCCGGCCGGCCGCCGGCCGGCAGCTCGCGCTCGTCGCGGAACTCGGGCAGCGTCTCCAGGCAGAAGGTGATGATGGAGATGGTGATGACCAGCACCGACACGATGGCGATGCCGCGCGCCGGGCTCGAGCTCTCCGGGTACTCGAAGATCAGCCACACCTGCCGACGCACGCCGCCGCCGCCGTTAGTCGCAAGCATTCCGTCGCGCTCGCCGCTCGAACCGCGGTCTTCCCCTTGATCGCCGCGCACGCGCACCCGTATTATCCCCCTTTTGGCGCGTGACGAAAACGTTTCCGTGAGTGACTTGCGCTTCTGCGCGTCGAACAACGAGGGCACGCTGGTTCCTACCGCTCTTTGTTTTGGTGCGTGAGTACGAGGACTAGATTTGTTTGTTTGTTTTTTTCTCCAGTCTCCACCACCGCCTTCCGCACCTCTCGCAGAACAACAACCGGCGGTCGCGATGGGCGCCGGGAGCTTCGTAAGAAAGTGGCCGATGTCGCCCGCAAAGATTTGCTTGGGGGGAAAAAAAGCCTCCCTGGCCTCCGGGTAAGCCAATTCCGTAGCATCGAGGACGCGTTTTGGGGAGGGCACGGTTCTTTGAGACGTGGGCTTTCCCCGCAGATTTGCGCTGAGCGCGTCGAATCTTTCGAGGCGAAAAAGATAGCCCGGCGCGTGGGCCGCTTCTGCCGGGCTATCTTTTTCGATCGTCTTCGGTCGATACGGCGGTTCGGAACGGCTGCCGGACACCAACCTGCTTCTGGAACTCGTTTCGCGGCAGCGGCTTCTCCTCCTCCTTGATGAATCCCTCGTCCTCGCGGAAGCGCTCCATGGCCTCCTCGCCCAGCTGGTAGAAGCGGATCTCGTCGGCGAAGACGTCGATGGACACGTTGACGGGCCTGCGGATCTTGCCGCCCGACTGGTAGAAGTAGAGGATGCCGTCGAAGCTGGGACGGTTGCGGTCGAAGAAGTACTCGTTGCGCAGCGGGTCGAAGTACTTGATCCTCTTGGCGGGGTCGCCCAGCAGAGTGTCGGGGAACTGGTTGAGGGTGCCCAGCTGCGTCTCGTAGCGCAGGCCGGCGATGTTGATGAGCACCCGCTCGTTGCTGTCCGAGTCCAAATCCAGGTCCAGGAGCTCGTCGTCGAAGACGTGCGGGCTGTGGTCGGCGCGCAGCAGCGCGTCCATGGCGTTCTCGCTGCAGCTCAGCGCGCTGTTCATGTCGTTGATCTTCCACGCGGGAGGATGAGGAGGAGGAGGATGAGGATGCTGCTGCTGATGATGAAGAGGAGCGTTCACTTCTTTGCCCAAGTCGTCCATGAGCGCCGAGTGCTGCTGCTGCTGCTGCGCGTTGTTGGCGCCTCCGTTCTCCTGCAGGTTCACCAGAGCCACCTCCATGGCCGCGCCGTTGGGC